CTGGGAGTTGGAGACTGGAGCTGTTCCTATTCGGCCATCTTGCTCCCTTCCTAATTTTATCTTTAATATAATTGTGTATATGAAAGCTTAAATTAACAAGAACATGTTTACTTAATTTTAATTATTTTCAAAGCAATGACATTATGGTAATTGCAATCAAGGTTAAACCATATTTTGTGTAATTTTTATCATATATCTAAATCTGGAAATGAAACTGTTCTTTTAGTATGAAGTTGTCTTAGTTTTCAGCAGTTGTGAGTTGCTGTCACTTGCCATATGGTTTCTGATTAATTCTGAAAGAGCTGTCAACTCAAGATAATTTAATTTTCTATATTTTAAAGTGATGTTAATATTTGGGATATGAAAATTTAAAGTATTAGCTACCAATTATGACTAATAAACTCTATATATTTTTGTATCTAGAGAAAAACAGAAATCTGAAGGTAAAGACAGAAAAGTTCTAGAAATTCTGCAAGTCAAGGATGCCAAAATACAAGAATTTGAACAGGTTGGTGTTATAATAAAAATATTTAAAATCACTACTTATTTTGGGTAGTAGATCATTAAAATTATTTTTGTTTTGTAATAATGTTTATTGAGAATATTAGGGTCCTTATTATGTTAAAGCATTACTATTTTGAAGTCACTAGTAAGATTATTCTTCATTATTAATACTTTGCTTGTACCCTTTTGTTTTCTGAATTAATAGGCTGTAACTTTTTATATAATGTTACAGTTTTATAATAGTATCTAGCTATTATTATTTGTTTTGTTGAATTTTGCCATTATTAGCTGTTATCATTTACTTCTGAAGCTTGTAAATTTTCAGATGACTTCATTTGTAGAAAAGATAAAAATTGAGATCGTATTATTTACACTTAAAACTTGTATTTTTGTATTAATATTATATTAGGCTATTCTTCCACTGTTATAAATAAATACCTGAGACTAGGTAATTAATAAGAAAGCGGTTTCATTGGCTTATGGTTCTGCAGACAGTACAGGACGCACAGGAACATCTGCTTCTTGGGAGGCCTCAAGGAGCTTTACTCATGTCAGAAGGCAAAGCATGTGACACTTCACATGGTTATAGCAGGAGCAAGAGAGAGAGAGAGACAGGGCATGGTGAGGGAGGCGCCACACACTTTTAAACGAGAGCTTGTGGAAACTCACTCGCTATGCAAAATCAGCACCAAGCCATGAGGGATTTACCCTCATGACCCAAACACCTCTCATCAGCTCCCACTTTCAGCTTTGGGGATTACAATTCAATGTGAGATTTGGGCAGGGACAAATATTCACACTATATCAAGTACAGTCCTATCTTTTATGTATAATCAGTACATTATACAATTAAATATATTTATATTTATATGTAATATGTAAAATTATGTGTGATTGTATAATCAGTATGTAATCACCCAGAAGTGTATGTGGTCATGCTTTCTGGAGCAATTTTCAAGATATAAACATCTCAAAAAAGAAGTGAAAGAAATTTATTTTAAGAGTGGCTAATATCATTATATAATATTTAAATTCATTTTATACTCAAGCTCATTATGGAGCAAATAAACTAATTTTTCTTGGGAGGTACCTTTTTGGCAACTATGCTCTTTTGACTTTTGAATTTATTTTCCTTTCTAACCAATTAAAGGTTCATGAGAACTTTGATCTAGGATCAGTTATTGTTATAAATTTGTTTCATGAAAAGAGTAAAAGTTCCATTCCCTACATTTCTGTCAGTTCTTTCTAAAAAGGAATATTGATTCCAATATAACATACAAATCTGAAATTTATACCTTTTCCACAGTTGAGTTTTTCCTATAGAAAATGTCATAATTGGTACTATAATGATAAAATGTTAAGAATAACATTTTAGTAAATTTGTTCTGGAAAGAAACAGTTGTGTTTACCACCCAAGTATCAAACAATATTAAAATATACTCTAAAATAGGTAAATGTTGTCATGTGCCTGGTGTATTAATTGGATTAGGCTAAGCTGCTTAACAAGTACAGCCTTATGACCCAGACATGGTAAACATCATTTGTATTCATATTTTACTGGAAAAAAATTTGGCTACCCCAAGATTCAGGTGATTTGAGAAAATGTAGATACAAGTGTAGCAGGCTCTTCCTCAATTATACCTCTCTTCTGTTAGAGAAGGAAAATGGGTTTTAGGAAAATGGGTCTTTTTAATATCCTTAGGCATTAAGTTTGCAGAGCTTTAGTGAATGCTCTTTGGTTTACCAGCTTTGGATAACCATAGCATACCCTTAGAAAACATTGCCTTTTGTAAATGAAAATATATTTCCCCCTTTCTTTGCTAAATTCTTTGTCTACGTCTGCATCCTTGAGTAGAGATTATTTCATTATTTGTCTTTTGAGTGGAATCACATAGCTTATATATAACATACTAAACTCTCATAAGAGAAATCATTTACTTTGTAGAGACCCAAATTTCTTAGGATTAATCATTTCATTTTTGTGCAATGATGATTATACCTTTGTACAAGGTATATTTTCAGTTAGGTTCAACAAAATATTGTATTAAATGTATATATTATCCTGTGATGGTGTTGTAGAATATTCAGAGTTACATTTCTTGACTTTAATGCTTTTTAAATATCTTTGATGATTAGGTGAGGATAGAAGTAAGATGGAAATTGCCATATTCTCCTACACTACTTTGTAGTTTCTATGAGGGCAGAGTCTATTTCTCTCTCATCCACTCTTTAGTCTCATACAGATGACTGTATACCCAGCAAGTAATTATTAATAGTTATTTCATAGTCAGGTCCACTGACATGGACCTGAATTATTAGGTTGGCAGGAATGAAAGGCATGTAAATGGAACCATAAGGACTTCATGGTAATTTTGAAAATGACTCTTAGGTTTTAAGCTTGGAGAAACCAGGAGAACAGTGGCATTATTATCAAAAAGAGGGTTATTTTCAGGAAGTATATATTGTTTTGAAGGTAAGGTTTTGAGCTTCTTGTAGAAAGTTCATGTTTTAGATGCTGATAGTAATTCCATTTAGAGATATTTAGCAAACTGTTAGAAGCATGAATCTGATACTTGGGAGAGAGTTTTGACCTGGAGTTATGAGTATTTAATGGGTTAGTTAGAGGGACGACTTTAAGCAGTGAAAATTTTGAGAACAAGATATTTACTGATTTTTTAATGAGGAAGGAAAAATTGTAGTAAAAAAGACTAAAAGACTTTAGAGAAGTAAGGAGGAAGTACAATGCAGTATCTCATGAATTGAGAGAAGAGAGTTGGAAGTAAAATGCAGTATCTCATGAATTGAGAGAAGAGAGTTGCAAGAAGCAAAAGGTTGTCATTGTAAAATGCTACAAAAAATGGAATGGGGTTTTGAAAAAGACATTACATTTAGCAGTCATGAAGTTTTAAAATGAATTTTAGAAAGCAATATAAGGGGGATGGCATATGACATTTTAAGAGATCATTGAACTCTGACAAAGTAATGGAAAGGAATGAAGAAATGTGACATTATGGGGTGGGGAGATAGAGGGATTGATTGATTGATTGATTGACTGTTTTATTTTATTATTATTATTTTTTATTTTTTATTTTCTTCTTATTATTATTATACTTTAAGTTCTAGGGTACATGTGCATAACGGGCAGGTTTGTTACATATGTATACTGTTTTATTTTAAGTAATAGCTCATGCAATCGTGGACTGGCAAGTAACTCTGCAGGGCAGTCCGTCAGAATGGAGATCTAGGGAAGACTTTGTTACATTGCAAATCCTAAGGTAGTCTGGAGGTAGAATTTCTTCCTGCTCTGGGGATCATAGTATTTTCTTGAGGCCTTCAACTGATTGGATGAGGCCAGCCCACATTATGAAGGGTAATCTGCTTTTCTCAAAATCCCATTAATTTAAATGTTAACCACATCTAAAGAATACTTTCACAATAATATCTAGACTGGTGTTAGGTAAGAATGTGTGTACCATGGGTAGTACAGCCAAATTGACATATAAAATTAACCAAATGGGTAAAAACAGCTGGGGTAAATAGATTTTATGTTTATCTGGCTAGAGATTAGGCTGTCTCCACTGTTCGCTGTGGTATGAGTTAGAGATAAAACTCTGGTATCCATGTCTTTTTTGAAGTTTTGTAGATACTTTATAAATATCCTTGATATGCATAATTCGATTTTCTTAAAAAGAAAAACTTTAAACAAATTAAATTCAATGGAGTTTAATTGAGATGAAAAAAAATTCATGAATTGGGTAACACTCAGGTGTTTCACTTTGAGGTGGGTAACACTCAAAGTGGTTCAGAGAGCTCTGCTCCCCAGTGTGGGCTGAGACTATGTATAGCCAGACAATGGAAGTGACACACAGAAATAGCCAGATTGGTTACAGTTTGGTGTTTGCCTTATTTGGACATGTTTTGGCAATTTACCCTTGTGATTGGCTCAATGCTTGGCTGCTGTGATTGGCTGAGACTTGGCTACTGTACAAAAATATACTCTCAAGTAGGGTTGTGTTTACATATTGTTAGGTTACAGTTAGCTACCTACAGAGGCAATGTAATTTAATAGTTGCTATTTAAACTGCTGTTTTTGGTCAAACCTATTAATTATACAATAGCCCCATTGACGTGGTGGTAGGGTGTTGGGGGAGGAGAGGAAGCTGTCTGTAGTGTTATGTTTGGGTTTCAATCTTTTGGTGAGCTGTGCTTCTGAATTGTGACCTTCAAAAGTGCTTCTTAGTTTTTTGTTTGTTTGTTTCCCCCCTCCCCTTATCCCCTTAGGAGAGACAGGAAGGCTAGAAGATGCTTGAGTTGGGTATTTCCTTTCTCCAAGTTGGTTAGTTAGGCTCAAGTAAAACCCCATGAGTCTGGGCTCTGGTAAAATAGTTTTTCTCGATGGCAGGCCTTGGTAAGAAGAAAAGAATACTCTGAGTGTGTTTAAAGATGGTTACTTTCTCCCTCCACATATTGGAAACAGGAAGGAATTATTGTCTGATCTTCCCTGTGGCAACATGACAGGGATCCAGTAGGTTACACTTATGAAAATTTGTCACCTCTTACTGTTTTATGATTCCTCTGAGTGCTGTTTGTCCCCTTCCCCTGCCCAAAACTGGGCCATCCTTGAGTTTTAAACTCTCAGACTTGTCCATATTGATCTTCTAATAATTCATTAATTACAGAATAAGTTTTTCCACCCTGGTGCTGTCTCCTGTGAAAGGTTTTTCTCCTGGGCATCTGTTCCATTAAGTTGTTATTCTCTCTGTTTGCCTGTCTCTTCAATTTTGGGGACGTTGGTTTGCTGGATAGTCTCAATTCTCTGATGGATCTGAAAAGAGTTGTTGATTTTCAGTTTGTTCAGCTTTTTTGCTTGTTGTGTAAATGAGAAAGACGACTGTCAAGTTCCTTACATGCTGGACTGGAAACCAGAAGCCCCCTCCACTGAATTGTTGTTCCACTGAAAAATATTAAATAGCTCCTAATTTTCAATATTTATAGCTATGAGATAGAATAAGAATTAGAATGACAAATAGTTTAGCTTATTTAAATCTTACTTCTATCTAGTGAAATTACTAGAAAGTTACACACACAGATTTTTTTTTCCCGCTGGTTGCAGAAAAACTTTTGTACAAGAGTACAATCTAATAATTATTAGTATAAAGAATTGCCATTTTTTTGGGTAAGACTATGTTTTAGCTTTGTCACTGTTATAAAATAATGTAATACATTTCCCTTTTATTATTGTGCTTTGATAGCATGACTTATGATAACCTAGTATATTATATTTAATTAGATGATAATTGCTTTTTAACATTATATTTCCTTTTTTCCTTACCTTCCAGGAGGCTCAGAAGTTTTATTTCTTAATTTCAATTACTTTTATCCCTTCCTTTTTCTCCACTTATCATTATTTTAGTTATTGTGGTTTAATTACTGCTTTGTTTGTTTTTTGTTAAAAGTTTCGTGTCCATTTTGAAAATAGGTTAGTATAAATAATAAATTAACTATGCTCAAGTATTACCTAATAGAGTTTGGGCCTTATGCCCCTTCCCCACCCCCCACACATTTTTATCCCTGCTTCATACTCACTATTATTTTCTTGTTACTCTGTAGACTTCTCTTGACCATTATTTGAATTATTCATTTCATGGCTTATCTGTAATAAATTATTTGTTCCAGACATTCTCTCTCTCGTCACCCCTTAATGCTTTATGGTTCCTCTGAATTCTGTTTGCTATTCTAATATTAACTCAAGCCAGACTATTAAGAATTTACCTGCCTCTATTCAGAAAGTTTTGTCGAAAAATATTAATAAAGCTTAATTTTAAAATGAACTTTAACTGTATATATCTGTGCTTTCATTATTTAGATTATCGAGGGTATATTTTATTAGGATAATATGTTGATTTATATGAACTTTTACACTTTTAGAGTTTACAGTGCTCTTGTATTGGGAGAAAATCTTTAACTTATTACTTTAATGATTTTGTGATATAAGAAACTATATTATGCAATGTAATATTAAACTAATTATCGGAATATGATAGTTTTGGTTAAGCAATTTTTTAATCTTATTATGCTTTTTAATTTACAGATGGAGTCTGTTTGTCCTTTTGAATTACTGTTATAAGTTCACTCAAATGCCAAAATCTAAATTATTAAATAATTCTCATGAAAGGATTCTCTGTTGGTATCATTTATATTGTCAGTGCCTGTTAAGTTTAGTTCACTGTAATGGGAAAACCCTTTTAAAACTTGTCAGTTGGTCAGTGTTCTTCCTAGAGTTTAAGTAATTTCCAGAATAGACAAGATAGGCTCAAATTTTGTCATTTTTTCTTCAAAGGATAGGCTTATGGGTATTTTACAGACAGTTTTAATGCTTATATTATTGAATTTATTATTTAGTGTCAATCTCATCTGTAAACAGTTAACAGGCCAATTTGGGAGATATTATGAGTAGAGAGATTATTAGCAACACTAGGTAGTTTGTTATGTGTCACATGTATAATAACACAAAAATTTAGAAATGGCAAGAATTACAAAATACTGGGATAGTAAGGGATGCTTTTATTGAGGAGGTGGTAGTTGAGTCTCAAAGGAGCATAAGACTTAGCTGAGAGTAGAAAAAGTGATTGTAAATTGTGGATGAGCCATTGTTATGCATCTATTTTTATGTTATTTGATTGATGTCAGGCACATTTTGATACGGCCTAATAATTAAAATAGAACAGAAAAGTTAAAAACTGAGATGCCATTTGTACTTACTGGATTTAAAAAAATTTCCAACTCTGAGAGTTAAGTGTTGGTGGGGAGGTAGAGTAATGAAAACTCCTGAAATGCGAATAGTCTTTGACTTAGCAATTTCACCTCTAAGTGGATATAATCCAGAGAAGTGTTCTTCAAACTTTTGTTAGTATTATCCCTGAAGTACATTTTGCTTCATGACCCATTATACACACACAAAATAAAAGTTTCACATAATAATAGTTATTTTTAGTACATGTAATTAAGGTAAACATATGAAAATTTTTATATCAAATGTGAATTTACTAATATTTAAATACAAGAAAAATCTAAAATACGATAAAAGTTTAGAAAATAATTTATGAAGCATGTCTGTTTTGTAAGTTTATTCCTATAACTGTAGTTTCATTGCTAAGAATGTGTGCCTATTACCTTGATATTTTCTATTGTATTATAATCTGTTTAAAAAAATACCAATTATTGTAACTAAATCGATTTAATGATCCATTACTAGATTGTAATCTGTAGTTTGAAAAACACTGCTTGGGAGAAATTCTTGCATGAATATTTGGAGTCATGCTTAAGAGTGTTCATAACAGTATTGTTTGTATACCCCTTTACCTCAAATGGGAAACAGCTGAAATACACACTGATAAAAGATGGATAAATAGAGCATAGTTATCTGATGGATTAATAATATCTGATGGATTAATTACATCAAGGTAATTGATCTACAGTTACATTCATTATTGTGAATAAATTTGGGAACATATGTTGAGCAAAAATAGCAAGCTACATAATATGTATAATAAGATTTAAGTTCAGAAGTAAGCAAAACTATACAGCATATTAAATAGGGACATATATCTGTCTTTGAACTACAAAGAAAAGCAAGGCAAAGATAAGAATCAGGGTTTCAAGATAATACTTACCCTTGTAGGGAATAGGAAGTACTAGAGGATAAAGGGTCATACATGAGATATCAAAGATAATGGTACAGTTGTGTTTCCTAGCTGAATGTTGGTACATACAGGGCCGCTCCTTTTACTTTTTTTAAAAAAAAATTCTTTACACATTTATCACAGATTATTTTTGTATGTATTCAGTATCTAAATTATTTTTTACCTATAAATAAAATAAAATCAATAATTAATATTACACTTTTAAAAATTAGAGTATTGGGGTTGGGCACAGTGGCTCACACCTGTAATCTCAGCAGGGCCGAGCTGGGAGGATTGCTTGAGTCCAGGAGTTTGAGTAACATAGTGAGACTTCATTTCTATGAAGAAAATTAAAAATTAGCTGGGTTGGTGGCACATACCTATGGTCCTAGCTACTTGGGAAGCTGAGATGGGAGGATCCCTTGAGTCTAGGAGTTCGAGGCTGCAGTGAGCCATGATTGTGCCACCGCACTCCAGAGTGGGTGACAGGACAGAGCGAGACCCTGTCTCTTAAAAAATTAAATAAATAAAATAGAATATTGAATATATTTTCACTTTATTTCTAAAAATCCACTTTTCATCATAATCCTGGATCTTCCTCTCATTTTCAGTTTATTCCCAAGTCCTTTGGAGACAGTTTGATAAGGAGGAAATATGAGAGTATAAAGGAATCAGCATCAGTGATAGATCAGAAATGGAATAAAGGTCAACTGAGCGTATTACTTAAAAAAAAGTGTTTCTATCTTGATGTCTCTCTTTCTTGGTTGATAGACAGAAAGTGCTATTGAGTCTTACTTGGAGGCTTCCAGTAATTGTGTCAGGCTAGATAGTATGTGTTTAATAAATATTAGTTGAAAGAATGGATGGATTGATAAAAGTTGAAGAAGTTTAGGAAAGAGTATCAGGATATGGATTCCATTTTTAGCAAGTTAGTTTGAGGTAGTAGACAATCCAAAGGGAGGGGTCTTGTATAGCTGGAAATATGAGATTGGTGATTGGGAAGGTGAGGGCTGGAATACAGATTAGATAGTCTTTCAGACAGAGGTAAGATTAGCAGCCAAGAGAGGCGCTACATTTTCTGAGAAAAGATATCCAGAGAAACGAGGGAAGCTAAAAATTGAGTCATGGGTACATCCACCTCGTAGGTGTAATTTAGGTATCTCACATGTGAGAAGAATGTTTGGTTAAAAATTATGGCAGCCTTAACATTCTAAATATTCTGGCTACAGAGCAAGATATTATTAGTACTAAAACAAACTTGCTATTTTAAAATTTTTAAAGTGATTTATACTTTTACAAAATCAATAGTTTTTCAGAAAAGTTCCTTCTAAATGACATTCAAATAAAAGAATAAGGAATTACGTTAGCTATAAATATATTTTCTTTAATTAGATGGTTTGTAAAATCTTGTTTTTCTCCTGTTACACACCTAAATTCTGAAAGTTTGCTTTCTGAGTGTGGTTTAATATTTAGTGTCCAGTTTTTATGTGTTCTTCAACATAAATAGGCCCTGTACTTGCACATTTTAGTTAAAAATTCATGGACGTGTTTCAGGAGATGAGAATTTTGGTGACAGACATTATTATGAAAGCTAATTAATCATAACATTAGCAAATCAAAATGTAAAACCTTTGAAATAAAATATTTTTTCTTGGAAATAAAAGCTCACCAGTAATTTAAATTTTTTCCACAGAGAGAATCAGTACTGAAACAGGAAATAAATGACCTTGTAAAACGAAAAATTGCAGTAGATGAAGAAAATGCTTTCTTAAGGAAAGAATTCAGTGAGTTGGAGAAGAAATTTAAAGATAAAAGTCAAGAAATTAAGGTGTGTTGACTTGTACATAGTTTTGTGGGACTGTTGCTTTGAAGTTCTGCTTTAAGCTTTGTTAGCCTTTGTGGCACAGAAAGTGACAGGTTTGGACGAAAAATTGCCTTAGGCCCTCCTGTACCATACAGTTTTCTCACATGCAAAAACTCTGATAAGGATGCTTTAAAGCTAGAACTCCAAGCTTTATAACTTTTAGATAAATAGTTAATGATGGAAATGGAGCTAAGAAAGTAGGAGTGTGAATATGTGGCTTCTTGTAATTAGATTCTGATGGGACTGGCATTATTAATTGATAAAACCCAGGTCTGGGAGGATATATCTGTATGGGTCTCAAAAATAGCTGGGGACAGCATCAAAGGCAGCTTGATCAATTAATGGGCTCTTTGCAAATGTGTACTCATCAAAGCTGTCATCCAGTGAAAAAATATGACCCATCCACCTGCATGAAAAGAGGCCAATAAAAGTACACAGGTGACCTTGGCTATCAAATATAGGAGAAGCTTCTGTGAGGGTAAAACTGCACAGTTTGTATTTGCTGATTAATTTGGGTTTTTGTTTTATTTGCCCTTGTGGTTCTGTTCTACAGGACACTAAAGAGTGTGTACAGAACAAAGAAGAGCAAAATAGACTAATTATAAAAAATCTGGAGGAGGAAAACAATAAATTAAGTACCCGCTGCACTGACCTGCTAAATGACCTGGAGAAACTGAGGAAGCAGGAAGCACATTGGAGAAAAGAAAAATATAGCACTGATGCAAAAATAAAGGTATACAATAGGAATTGAATCCATACTCCTCTTTTGGATCTAACTTTTTCTAGGAAGTTTAATACATGTTATTTTCTTTAAATAACAAGCTATATATTCATATCCTCCAGTGGGGACTAGCATTAATTTATATTCTTTCACTTAAGACCCACAGCTTTTTAAAAATTGATGTTGCAAAGCAGGAAACTGACTTCAAATGGTTATCCTAAAATGTAATCATTAAAAAATAAAGGCTATTGCATTTTGAAATAAAATGTGTTTTCAAATAACATATTTAGAATCATGGGTTTTAACTTTTTCACTTAAGGCTTAAGCTTACAAAGATAGCTAGAATTTATTGCAATATGGTTTTTAAGACTATTTTCTAGATCCTTTAAAATATAAAGTATAAAAAATACTAAACTGTTAAACAATACAAATATGTGGTTCTATGGTGGTGCTTTCTTTGACTTTAAAGGAAAGGGCCTTATTTGTGGGAAATTTTTATTTTTATAGAAGATAAAAATTACAATCAATCATTATATTCTTATACCCTTTTTAAAAGGCTAATCAAGTGAGGCAGTGGCTTCTTACATTTTTTTATGAGTATTTTTCAAAATAATACTTTTTTATGGCATTCTCTTTGTCTTTAGAGGTTTTTGCTAATTTCTTTTCTTATTAAATTGCATGTTTTTTTTTTTTTTTTTTAACTATAGATTTTGTTGAAAAGGCCAGATCCAGATTTTAGTGCTAGTAAATATGGTGGTCTCTCAATGTGTATACCCCTAAAAAGAACACACGCGCGCGCACACACACACACACACACACACACACACACAGAGAACTATTCAATAGTTATAAGCAGTTGACCATATGTATCTGCAGGTTCTGCATCAGTGGGTCAAACTATTCAGAAAAAAAAACCACAATTAAAAGTAACAATACAATAATAGAAAACAATACAAGTAAAAATACGATATAACAGCTGTTTACATTGTATTCGGTATTTTGAGTGATCTAGAGATGATTTAAAGTATGTGGGAACGTGTGTAGGGTATTCGCAAATGCTATACCATTTTATATATGAGACTTAAAGCATCCTTGGGTTTTGGTATCTGTGGAGAGTCCTGCATTCAATCCTCCAGGAATACTGAGGGACGATGGTAATATGTATGGATGTATGGGTGTGTATATGCATGTATGCAAGAGTATTTAAGTTAGGGGAGAAGGATATATCTTTCTCGGAGTATAAACCTGTTGCAGATTATTTATGGAAATATTTAAGTCTATTAGTGCACAATCATGGGTTGACTGAGCCATTGAGAGAACTGAATTCTGGTGGATTTATTTTCTTAATTTTTGTATCAGTTTCTGCTTCTGCGCAAGCTTTAAACAATTTGGAAGTGTGATAAGGGTAAACCAGTACTTGTGTTAATTCACAGCTACATGATTATTTGGTGATAATTTTTATTTCCTTATTTATTCTATTTGAATAATCAGTTCTGGGATTTGCTGTGACTTGTGTAACATTTTTTTCTCATGGGGTTATTGTCTTTTTCTTACTGCTTTTTGGGCATTCATTATTTATTTTGCATAGTAATATTTTGTATCTTATAAATACCTTCTGTTCTATAAACCTTGAATAAGGAAAACTGGAATTTCAAAAGTTTGTGAATTTTGGTAGTCATGTTATTATTTTCTTCTCAAATGTTTTTGCTTTAAAAGTTTTATATGACAAAGTTTTCCCCACCCTAAAGTCTTTAATCTATTTATAATTTATTTTTGGATGTGATGGTCCTCATCATTTACTCAGTATCCACGAAAGCAGCAAGATTGTTCACTGATCTTCTCCCAGCTTTCTCCCATGAAGCATGGTCATAAAAGAATTCTCATAGCTACCTTCCTGGAAAGTAGATCTTACCACCCTCATTCAGAGAGGTTCTGTCTTGTACCTAGAGTCCAAGAAGAATTTGAACAAGCAGTCCTTTCTAATAAGTTTATTTTACCACAGGATCATATGCCTTTGTCCTCCAGTCACAGTTTTGCATGACTGTCCATAAAAACACACAGTTTTCCCTGGGTCTTTGGGTCTTCATTTCCAACATCTACTGTGTCATGTAAAACTTTGCTTAAATAAATGTTATATTTTTCTCTTAGTAATTTGTCTTTTATTACCGGGATGTCAGCCATGAACCTTGCTATGGGTAAGGAAAAGATACTACTTTTTATTTCCTACATGTACATATATTTTCATTTCTTTTGGGTATATACTTAGGAGTGAAATTATTGAGTCATATGGTAACTGTTTTTAAGCTTTTGAGGAACTGCCAGACTATTTCCCAAAGCAGCTGCACCATTTTACATTCAGACACTATGAGGGTTTTGATTTTTCCATCTTCTCATCAATACTTGTAATTTTTTGCCCTTTTTGTTATAGCCACCTCAGGGATGTGAAGTGATATCTCATTATGGTTTTTTGTTTGTTCATTTGTTTGAGAGAGAGTCTTGCTCTGTCGCCCAGGCTGGAGTACAGTGGCATGATCTCGATTCACTGCAACCTCTGCCTTCCTGGATACAAGCTATTCTCCTGCCTCAGCCTCCCGAGTAGCTGGGACTACAGGCACGTGCCACCACATGCAGATAATTTTGTATTTTTAGTAGAGACGGGGTTTTGCCATGTTGGCCAGGCTAGTCTCAAATCATTGTGGTTTTGATTTACATTTTCCTGATGGTAAATAATGGTGAGCATCTTTTCATGTATTACTATCTTTGGAGAAATGTCTATTCAAATCATTTGTGTACATACTGGATCCATTTGTTGAAGAAAATTCTTTTTTCCCCACTGAATTGTCTTGATACCATTTTTGAATATCAGTTGACTGTAAATATAAGTGTTCATTTTTGGACCTCAGTTCTATTTATTTGATCTATACATCTGTCCTCCTGCCTATGCCACATTCTCTTGATTTTTGCAGATTTGTAGCAAGTTTTGAAATTGGGGTATATGTGTCCTCCATATTTTTTCTTTTTCTGGATTAGCTATTCTGCGTCTGTTATATTTTCATATGAATTTTAGAATTATCATTTTTCAGTTGGGCACGGTGGCTCAAGCCTGTAATCCCAGCACTTTGGGAGGCCGAGGTGGGTGGATCACGAGGTCAGGAGATTGAGACCATCCTGGCTAACATGGTGAAACCCCGTCTCTACTAAAAATACAAGAAAATTAGCCGGGCGAGGTGGCGGGCACCTGTAGTCCCAGCTACTCAGGAGGCTGAGGCAGGAGAATGGCGTCAACCCGGGGGGGTGAAGCTTGCAGTGAGCCGAGATCGCGCCACTGCACTCCAGCCTGGGGCACAGAGCAAGACTCCGTCTCAAAAAAACAAAAAAAAAAACAAAAAAAAACAAAAAAAACTAGCCGGGTGAGGTGGCGGGCGCCTGTAGTCCCAGCTACTCAGGAGGCTGAGGCAGGAGAATGGCCTAAACCCGGGAGGCGGAGCTTGCAGTGAGCTGAGATCCGGCCACTGCACTCCAGCCTGGGTGACAGAGCGAGACTCCATCTCAAAAAAGAAAAAAAGTTATCTTTTTTCTTCTGGCCAAAAAAGCCATCAGAGAGTTTAATAGAGATTGCCTTGAATAAGTAAATCAGTTTGGGGAGTATTATTATCTCAATAATATTAAGAATCTTCTGATCCATCAACATGTGATGTTTTCCATTTATTTTGGTCTTTTTCAATTTTTTCAGTTGTTTTCTATCTTTCAGGGTATAAATTTGCACTTCTTTGGGTAAATGCATTCTTGAATATTTTATTATTTTTGATGCTATTATAATGGGAACTGTTTTTAATTTTCTCTTCAGGTCATTCATTCATAATGTATAGATACACAATTGAGTTTTGTATACTGATCTTGTATACTGCAACCTTTCTGAATAGGTTATCTAATTCTGATTTTTTTTTTTTAGTAAATTCCTTAAGACTTTCTACATGTGATATCACGACATCTGCAAGTAGACATAGTTTCACTTCTTCCTTTCTAATCTGAGTGCTTTTAATTTCATTTTATTTTATACTTTCCTGCTGGAAATCCTGGTATAGTGTTAAATAGAGAAAGAGTGGATATCCATGTCTTTTCAAATACCTATTTGCCATTTGTTTGTCTTTTGAGAAATGTGTATTCACATCTTTTGTCCCTTTTTAAATCAGATAATTAGATTTGTTTTCACATAGAGTTGTTTGAGTTCCTTATATATTCTGGTTATTAATCCCTTGTCAGATGGACAGTTTGCAGATATTGTCACTTTGTTGATTGCTTTCTTTGCTGTGCAGAAGCTTATTAACTTGATGTGATCCCATGTGTACATTTTTGCTTTGGTTTCCTGTCCCTGTGGGGTATTACTCAAGAAATCTTTGTGCAGTCCAGTGTCCTGTAGAGTTCCTGCAATGTTTTCTTTTAGTAGCTTCACAGTTTGAGGTCTGACTTGAGTCTTTAATCCATTGTGATTTGAATTTTGTATATGGCAACAGATAGGGGTCTAGTTTCATTCTTCTGCATATGTATATCCAATTTTCCCAGCACCATTAACTGAAGAGACTGTCTTCCCAAATGTATTTTCATGGCACTTTTGTTAACAGTGAGTTTGCTGTAGATGTATCACTATATTTCTGAGTTCTCTCTTCTGCTCCATTGGTCTATGTGTCTGTTTTTATGACAGTACCATGTCATTTTGGTTTTTATAGTTTTGTAATCTAATTTGAAGTCAGGTGATGTGATTCCTCCAGTTTTGTTCTTTTTGCTCAGGATAGGTTTGGCTACTCTGGGTCTTTTGTGATTCCATATAATTTTCAGATTAAAAAAAATCTGCAAAGAATGTCATTAGTATTTTGATAGGGATTGCATAGAATCTGTAGATGGCTTTGGGCAGTATGGACATTTTAACAATATTGATTCTCCCATGAGCAAGGTATTTCTTTCCTTTTTTTTTTTTTTTTTTTTTTTTGGTGTCCTCTTTAGTTTCTCTCATC